GTGATATACGTGGAGCTCCTAAGTTTGCTAATGAAGTCATCTTGTAGGGATTAAATTTTTAAAGACTTATATCTATGGGTGGTATGGGATGGGTCAATGACACACTATGGATGAAACTCCTTCTATCACTGTGGAAAAAGTTGAGTGAGTCTTCTTCAAGTAACTGTCAGAGAGAACTATGGAGTATTTTTTTATTATTTTTGTTTTTTATTTTTTCATCACATGCTGAAAATAAATTTTAAAAAATCCAATCTTTGCTCATTTGGATGAATCTCAAATGATTACTTATCCCATAAGAACATAAAGATTATGTTAAAAAAAGTTGGAAAAGACAAAAAACAAATTCAGAAAGTCATATGAATAATATAACTACATCTGTGTTTTATCAATAAAACTTGATGAGGCAGAAATTGTATTTTCTCCCGGAGGCACTGAAACTAGTATACTCATAATGCTATGATTGTATTCCTGGTGTCATGAATGAGGTTAAAAACTATATCTACAGCAATATTCCCAGCATCCAGAATACTAATGTACCAATAGGGGGTTATGTCTTCTGGGCTGTAAGGATTGAATTTGGGAAAATAAGAATAATTCAGGGTAATTAATCTAATTCAGACACCTGAAAACTTAAAACAAAAGCCAAAAAAAAAGAAAAAAGAAAAAAAAACCTACCTAAGTAAACTTTTTTTATAGAGTAATTCAGTCCTTTATTTTAAGATGGATAATGCAGGCAGTGTATAGATATATTATACATCACCATGTCTCAAATGGTGGTTCAAATACAACCTGTATCAGAATCACCTGAAAATTAATTAACATGCAGTTTTCCTGGCCACACCATTATAAAGGGTTTTCAAAAAAATTCATGGGAGGGAACTAGCAGTTAGCGTAATGGCTGTGTCACTGGACTCCCATGTAGTCGACCACGGTTTGCGTCCCGGACCCGGTGGCTTAAAACTCACGCCGGGCGCGTGTGCGTGCGTGCCCAAGATCCCGAGAGGAGAGTGGAGGAGAAGGGATTGTGGCATGACCATCCCCCCCCGAAGGGTGATTTCTCGCTTTCTGTTTCTATGTCTCTCTCTGTCTGTCTGGCGAGTGCACGCACCCTATAGCGAAAACCTCTCAAAAAAAAAAAAAAAAGGGAAAAAAAAATCATGGGAAACATATTTTGAAAAAAAAAAAAACCTATATTTGAATTTCAATGGACTTTTTGAAGCTCCCTTGTAAAAGCAATGACTCAGAATCTCTTGGAAAGGGCCCAGATATTTGAAATTTTAACTAAATTCCATAGGTGATTCTTCTATACACTGAAGAATATAAAATATTATTCTATACCAGTGGTTCTTTTATCATGCATTAGAATTGTTAGAGGACTTGTTAAAATACAGATTGCTAGTGCCGCCCGATTTCCTGATTTGTCTTTTGTGGGGTGAAGTCTGAGGATTGGCATTTCTAGCACATTCATTTTGCAGCATTCAGGTAAGGCTGATGCTACTAGCCAAAAATCAACAGATTGATAAGCATTGCTCCACAACAATGCTTTCAGACCTAACTGTACACAAGAATTCCCCTGAATATTTAAAACAAAACAAAACCTATAGAACCCTACCTCCAGAATTTTTGATTCAGCAGATCTGGTTTGGTCTTTTACATTACCTAATGAGTTTCCAGATGATGACCTCAGCTACTGTTTTGAGAACCATACTGAGAAACAGTCATTAGACTATCTTAAATCCTATTAAGCCATTGAACTTGTAGTGTGCAGTGTAAGTATTTAGTGTACAGTTGTATGCTGTAAAGATATATAGTCATTAAATGTAAACAAAAACTAAATTAAAACAAAATGGCATCAATTAATTTTTTCCCTCATGTGTCCCTAAGTTTCCAATTCACTAAATAAGATGATAAATACTACAAGGAAAGCTTGTTGTTTTCAATTTATTAGTGGCAGATTCGTTATGAACAAATTGTGTTCTGGAGAGGCAGTGCTTGCTTCCTTAGTTTGCCAGAATGATTTGCTCCCCTTTATTCAATGAAAGGAACTTATTTCAACTCCTCCTCCTCAGTTAGCTACTAGTACTAGAAGCTTTTTTTTAAGTTTCTTTATTTCTTCCATGAGCAAGAAAGACAGAGACAGACAGATCACAAAAGGGTATTGATGCCCCAATCCACCTGTTAACTCCTCCAGTCCTGGATAATGGGTATGTAGCGCTCTGTGTACTCAGGGAGGTCTCCAGACTCAAATCTAGAATGTTCCCATGTGGGTTATCCTTGCAGAGTGTGGCTTTTTACTGCTGTGCCATTGTCTGGCCTGAAGAATCTTATTCTAATTATGTGATTTGTCACCCCACTGGTTGGGATTGGCAGGAAGAGTGCCAGTTTAATCAAGGGGCTATTGATTTAGTTGTTATCACAGATTAAGCTGTGTCTGCATGTGGTATGAGAGATTGACCAGCAGGGTTCATGTTGTGAGCTGGGAAATAGAAAATTAAACAAACTAAAATGTATCCAAATGACAAGTGATACTAGAAAGAGACAAATATCTGATTAAAAAATGGTATAATTCAAAGTAAACAAACTAAACAATTAAGTAGATTATTGTCTCATTTTTATAGACAACAATCTTTTCTATTCATGTAATGACAACCAAAATGAAATCAATTGCAAATAACATAAAATTAAGAAACATTTTGAGAAAAAAAAAATAATGGCTATGTCGCTGGACTCCCATGTAGTTGACCGTGGTTCGCGTCCCGTACCCGGTGGCTTAAAACTCACGCCGGACGAGTGTGCGTGCGTGCCCAAGATCCCAAGAGGAGAATGGAGGAGAAGGGATTGTGGCATGAGCATCCCCTCTGGGGGGTGATTTCTCACTTTCTGTCTCTATGTCTCTGTCTGTTTGGTGAGTGCATGCGCCCTATAGCGAAAACCTCTCCAAAAATAAAAAAAAAAAACTAATAGAAGAAACACAATCTAAGATTTGTTTCCAAATGTTTGCTTCTCAAATGTGGAAAACTGGTCAATGACACAAAATGAGGAAGAAATAATTTAGTGCATGATGAATATATTGTTTCTGGAATTTTGGTAAACAAAAGAAGTTGCTAGTAATAAGAATATAGTAAAAGGCCTCTCAGTGTCATTTAAGATGCATTATTTATGTGGAAGTTCAGTATGTGTACACTTGTATTATATACATCACATATGTTTTCTATCAACAGTATTTCCTCATTTTAGTCACCTGCACATTAAGCACACACTCTTAGGGTTGACTGGCAATATAGTGTTCAAAACCTTTTATTTAAGGGCCAGCAGGTGGGCATAGTGGTTGAGGCATTGGACTCCCACATGACTGATAGCAGTACTGGTCCTGGACCTAGAGGCTTGAAAATTACGCTGGGCACATAGGTGTGCATGCCTCAAATCCCAACAGGATAATGGAGGAGAAGGGATTGCAACACGGCTCTGGTGAATCATTTCTCATTTTCCCTCTCTTTGTCTTTGTCTCTTATTCTTTGGTGAATTCATGCACCCTATGGTAAAAACCTAAAAACAAAACAAAACAAAAACATTTATTTGTAGTTTTAGTCATTGAACAAGATATAAAACCAAAGTTGGTCTAAGAATTTTTTTTTTTTATTTAATTGAAGAGATCTGTCACAGGCCAAAATAACTTTTCAATTCTTTGGCTATGCAACTCCCCCAAACTGAGCAAATATGATTCTGATCACTAGTAATAATATTACTTGTTTTTGTTTTTGTTTTTTTTTTTTTTTTAGAGGTTTTTGCTATAGGGCACGTGTGCTTGCCAGATGGAGAGAAACAGAGAGACAGAAAGTGAGAAGTCACCCCCCGCCCAGAGGGGATGGCCACGCCACAATCCCTTCTCCTTCATTCTTCTCTCGGGATCTTGAGCATGTACACATACACGCCCGGCTTGAGTTTTAAGCCACCATGTCTGGGACACGAACCATGGTCGACTTCATGGGAGTCCAGTGACATAGCCATTATGCTAACTGCTAGTCCTGAGTAATAATATTACTTTTATCTTATTATAGAGATTTTCAACTTAAAGAGAATGTCTTACCAACTTCACCTCCAAAACTCCTCCCACTCATGTCTCCCAGGAAACATGAAAATGTAACTCTGGTTTTATAATGAATGTCAATGAGAAAAATAGATAGAAATATATTTATGTCGAATGAAATCTATTTTAAGATAGGTTAACCTATTTTCAGTTATAAACAAACAGGACAATTTTTTAAAATTTTAAGTAGAATTAATTTTTTTTTTTAACCATCAGAACAATTTGCAAGAAATTCATTGTGTAAATGGAAATAGTATGGAAGAACTGTACATTAACATTTAGATCATTTGGTAGGTTAGAAGCATTATGACTGATCTGTAATGTAAGTTTTCTAATTTTATTTTCAGAATAATAATCTATAAAATGGGCCTCTTGAAAGCTGGAGTAACTAATTGCTCAATTTGGAAAAATATGGACTTCAAAGGTTCTAAAGAGTATTTAAGAAGCTAATAGTTGGAAAGATGAGCAAGTTCATATAAGAGGTATGTGTACTTGTTAACAGTGTTATTTTTAAGTTTCCTGCTCTTTGTTCTTCTTTATTCTCTCTCTCTTGCTATACACATACATGTGCACACATATGTATATACTTTGTAATTTGTATGCAGAGGTACTGTTTACAATGCATGGGATAGCAAAGATTTATCTGTTTTTTAATTAGAGCAATTTAATGTAAGGGGTGATCATTAAAGAAATTCTAATTCATACGTTTTGAAAAGGTATTTCTGAAATGATTCACATATGGATATTTATTTGCTTTTCATAACATATTTCATGTCTATCAGTAGGTAGTCTTTGTCCACCTCTAAATTATATCTGAATGATACTTTCCCTGTCATAGGTGATATAAATATGTATACATAAGATAAATGGGATGTGTTTAAAACTTTGCTTCACAACATTATATAGTGGTGGAAGCTTTGTGCAGTGGCAGTATCGTAGCCAATGAGGTTTATCCGAGGCACAATTATTGCTAATTGAAACATTATATACTCGTATACTGGCTGTTATATTCACAGGTATGTAATATATGTATATTAAAGAAAATGTTAATGATGGCATTGATTATCTGAATTCAAGTAAACATAGAGATGCATACAGTAGATGCTAGGATATTTTAATTTTGCTACCGATTTTGTATATTAACATGAAATGGCATTGGTTTTCAGGGAAGTGTTTCATTCACAGAATCTTTACCTGAATCATGTCATAAATCTTCAAATGACTGGATACACTGAAGAAGAAAAAAGCAATTATGAAACCTGTTGATGAAAGATGTGTTTTCAAATGCCAATAATCAGAGATAAAATTTTAGGAGATCATGATAATATCGATTAGTTGCTTTGAGATAATGTTCTGTTGCATCAATAGCAATAAAAGATGGGTGAGGAGAGATTAGATACTCCATGACAGGAGACTGTCTTGGGAAATATGTATACAGATCCATTTTTAATTTGGGAGATTCTGTAATCCATTTTCATTTCAGCTCAGAATATGCTGATAGTGGGTTGTAGGAAAAATGCTATTAAGATTACTTGTTTATACAATTTTCTGCAGTAAATGAATTGATCTTTCCACTTATTTGATTTGAGATGACAGCATTTGTCATGTTTTCCTAGGACTGTAATCCAAATTTTAAGAAGCCTCTGGAATGAGGAGTGACAGGAAAAATAATGAAAACTTGTTTCCAGGGTACTTCTTGATGGATGCTATCATTATTTCACTTTTATTTGCTTAAAGACTTTATTTAGGCATACTTTTTAAAAAAACATTTTTCAAGCAGGGGCAAATGTTTTTAAACAGCCAAGGTATTAAATAGTCTTTATTGGTATAGATATCTTGAAGTACTCCTGCTTTATTTTTTCAGAATATAAAAATTTCCAGCAATGATGGTATAATCCATTTTTATCAAGAAGGAGTTTAAAGTAAAAAGTAAAGGAGTTCAAATACACATAGTTTAGTGGGGAGAAAATATTCAGTAAAATCCCTCTGAGAAATATGTAACAAATGTAAGGGAAAAAGAAATACGGTAATTAATCCTGACTGTGGAAGTGGAGCCTCAAAAGTTGAGGGAGTGTGGAACCAGCAGTTGGCGTAATGGCTATGTCACTGGACTTCCATGTAGTTAACCGTGGTTTGAGTCCTAGACCCGGCTGCTTAAAGTCACACCAGGCATGTATGCACGCGTGCTCAAGGTCTCGAGAGGAGAATGGAAGAGAAGGGATTGCAGCATGGCCATGCCCCTTGGGGGGTGATTTCTCACTTTATGTCTCTCTATCTTTCTGTATTTCTGGTGAGCTCACACCCTATAGCAAAAAAGCTCTCAAAAAAAAAAAATATTGAGGGAGTATGGCTGGACCAATAGAAGCCTAGCCACCTTGTCAGGGTGATTAGTTTTGAAGGCAGAATTCTCAGGTAAAATGCCAGGCTGTGCCATATCCTACCTTTCTGACCCTGGATAAATGACTTAATCTCTCTATGTTTCCAATTCATGATCTTTAGAATAGGGACAATTATTGTCTTGAAATATGTTTGTTATGATTAGAAATGATAGTGATGATGCTGATGACACCAGAGGCCATTATAAATCTTTTTCCTGGGAAGTAGACTGTATCACTAGTGAGAGGAAAAATAATAATCAATTAATATCAATATGCCAATATTCTGTATATGGCAAGATCTTCTGGAAATGCATCTTGTTTTTTTGTTTGCTTTTTTGCTTGCCCCAGATATTCGTCTGTATCTCTTTCAACCCTGGACTCTCCAATCTTTGTCCTGTGACTGCTTCCTCTTTTGTACGACAGGAGTTGGTATGGTAGTTTATGGAGAACTGGACCCTAGAAGAGAGAAAGGGAACTTGCTTGATAGCATTTGCCAATGGCTGTGATATAAATACCCCATGACATGACTAATTCCAAGCTAACTTTGGATCAACAATCAGTTCACAACATACCTGAAGATTTCACAGTTGACTTTCAGGGGCCAGTGTGAATGGACATTACATGCTACTATCTGGTTGTTCAATTTTTAATCTTTTCTGGAGTTTTAGGTCACACTTTAAGAATCTATTCCCATTTCTACAACCATGTGTGTATGCTGGCTCTTTCTAGTGATTGGTCTTTGTTAACTAAGCACATTTGTTCCTTCTGGTTATTTTTCAATATTGCACAAAATGTTTATAAAGTAAAGACTGGTGAACTTAAAAAAATGCCATGAAGCTAAAATATTCATAAAGTCACTCATTTAATCAGTTTATTTACTGACCTGTATGTATATAACTTTAGAGATGGTAAGCAAAACAAGTACATTTCCTTCTTTAATATGGTTTGGATTCTATTGGGTAAAAAGTTAATATAAACCCATGAAGAATATGAACAGTAAGCTGGATCTGTGCTTTGAAGAAGATTTACATTGTTGAGAAACAAGAGCAGAGAAGCTGCCTTAAAAGTAAGACTTAAGCTGAAATCTGAAGGAAGCATAAAAAGTAAACAGAAATAAAAAAAAAAAAAAAGAAAGAAAGGAGCATTTTGTTTCAGACATAGGGATTGATACAGGAAAATAGTAGAGTATCACCTGCAGGTAGCAAGACCATGGGATTTTAGAGAGTGACAGAAAATCACTAGATAAAATCTTCAGCAGCATCATTATTATCTCAAGCCTTCTGCATTGCCACGTAGTAGGACCTGATGCATTTTAATCATACAACTCTTCCCAGGTATACCCAGCCACATAGTCACTCAGGTGGAACTACAACTTACTTTTGAAATTTTTAAAAGATTTATTTTATTTTATTTATCTATCTATCTGTCTATTTATTTTAATTTGACCGTAGAGAGAAAAAGTGAGAGACAGGGAGAGAGAGAAAGAGAGAAAATGAGAAAGCAAGCTGCCAGGTCTGGGACTTGAACTACAGTTGCCCATGTGGGAGTCCAGCACCCTTAACTACCATGCTACCTGCTGACCTCCTAGAACTTATTTTTATCTAGTGTATGTTTTTAGTATTAAAACACAATAACATATCCTTACAGAAAATCAAATATGAATCAATAGTAATAGGATGATGATTGATAAGAATAAGCAATAAGGAAATATTTTCAAGTTGAAAAGTTAAATAGAAAGTACTTGAGAAAAAAAATAATGAAATATTTAAAGTTTAAATTTATTTATATTTTTCCATGAGAGAAAAAAATGTATATGGAGAGACAGAGTAATAGGCAATCCCAAAAGAGTCTCATTCTATAGCATATTATAATATCGGTTCTTGGAAAATTCATGGCGTATTTTTCTATGCAAAAATGCTTTTATGACTTTTCTGGCAACCCAATATACTCTACTTCTTGCCTCAGCTGGCTCATTTCATAAACACATGCACCTGTTATACTCAGGGAAGACTGGGGACACAAATCTAGGATCTTTCCATTGTGGGTCCAGTTACATTATCATTGCACCACCAACAGCCCTCTAAAGAGTTTGACAAGTCCACCTTAAACTTTCCCCAAGAAATAAAGGAAAGCATCCCTTCCATTCCTTCCTAATTAGTTAATTTACATCACACTGTATTACTTATTAGCTAATATATAAAAAAAAAAACTCTTATAAGATCTTTTCACGCTCTTACAGAAGATATGATCAATTTTTTTTTGATGTGGACTTCTCATTTTATTCCATACAATATTTGTTTAAATTTTGTATTATTATAATAATTATTTTTTATACATTCAATTGCTATATATCATTTAACTTGTATAACTTACCCAGCATGAAGTACACCTCAGACCAGTTCAGCTGAAAATACTGTACATATCATTATCAACAGGTAATAGTACATTTCTGTGTCCCACAAATAATGTGATTAATTATTTAATGAGCTATATAATCATATAAAAAATGCAGAGGTACTTTAGGGAGGAGTGGTTTTCTCCATATATGTATGGTTTTCTAGCTTTCCCTTGTGAATATCTATTTGTACACACACACATAAATACATTTACACAGTTTTAGAGGCACATATTTCTGTATACGCATAATGACAGAAAACCATGTTAATGTAGAGGTGACTGTAAGACCAACATGATTGTAATCACTTGACCGATAATACATTATATTTCATAATATCCTATAAGGAATATAGAATCATTAACTCTGCTTTCCAGTAAGGCTAAAAGGGTTCAAAAGTATTTAAGAAATTAGCAAGATAGAAGAGGAAGAGTTCCAATTGGAAGTGGTTCTGGAGCTGATTTTGTGATACAGTAAGAAATATGTATTTATTCTCTGCTCCCATTTTCTAAAACCCTTGGAATCTCTGAAATGATAAATGTCTTTTTGTACGCTATTGCGGTAACTCATGGTTAGAGGCTCCCAGGCTGTTTCCCTGACATCAAGAAGAAAAGAAGGGCTAGAAGTTGAGTTGTGACCATGGCCAGTGATTTAATTAATTATGCTTACATAATGAAACCTTCATAGAAACCTAACAGAACAGCTTTCAACTCACTTCTGGGTTGCTGAACACTGAAGGTTCCTAGAAGGTTCAGGTTCCTGAAAGATTATGTACTTGAGGAGGGCACCAAACTGCATTGCTTTCTCTGGACTTTGCCCTATGCATCTCTCCCATATGGTGGTTTCTGAGTTATATCTTTGTAATAAACCAATAATCTAGTCAGTATTTTCCTAAGTTCTGTGAACTATTCTTACAAATGATCCTCCAATTTGTGATAAAATTGGATAAACATTGTGAGTAATCTGGAACCTACTACTTTCAATTGGCATCTGAATTGGGGCAGTTAAATGAGACGGAGTCCTTAACCTGTGAGATCTGATGCTCTCTCTAGGTAGCTAGTGTCAACATTGAGTTGAGTTGCAATGCACTCAATTGATGTCAGAGAATTGTTTGGTGTGGGGGAAAAAAAAATCCATGCATCTGGTGGAGACATGTTCTGTGTTGTATTGAGAACATAATAGGAGAAAATGATTTTTTCCCTATTACCTTTAGAAGCAAATCCTCACATTTTACCACTATAACAGATCACATAGGAAATTGAGCTCAATCTATTTGG